GTTCACAGTGGCTCTCCTAGTTTCCTTGAGTTGGGCTGACGTGACAGAAGACCAACCCGTGGTACTCTGGTACTACACTCTTACCTGTGACCACATGTGCTTTGGAAGCTGTGTGAAGGCTGGATATTGGCCTCTGTGTGTTCAGCTCCAGTCACAGTAGTTTGAATGAGAAATGTCCCCCACAAGCTCACATGTTTGAACACTTTTTAATATTTTATTTATTATTTTTACATGTATGAGTGTATTGCCTGCATATATGTGCGTGCACCTATGTCATGCAATGCCGCAGAGGTCAGAAGAGGGCTTCGGATTCCCCTGGAACTGGAGTTAAGGATGGTTCGTAGCCGCCATGTGGGTGCTGGGAATCGAACCCGGGTCCTCTGCAAGAGCAAGTCGGTGCTCTTAACCACTGAGCCATCTCTCCAGCCCTGGGCATTGTTTTATAAAAATTATTGTATTTATTTTGGTTTATTATATGCATATATATGCATATATACATACATATGAATGTTTTCCCTGCATGTATGTAATTGCACTACTTGCTTGCAGTGCCTATGGAGGTCAGAAGAGGGTGTCAGATACCCCTGGAACTGGGGTTATAGGAGGCTGTTAGCCACCATGTGGGTTCTGAGAACCAAACCCAGGTCCTCTGGGAGAGCAGCCAGTGCTCTTAACCATTGAGCCATCTCTCTAGCCCCCATGTGTTTGAACTCTTGGTCCCCAGTTGGTGACACTGTTTGGGGATGTTATGGAGCCTTTAGGAGGTAGCGCCTCACTGGAGGAAGTCACTGGAGGGTGAACTTTGAGGTTTTATAGCCTTGCCCCACTTCCTGTTGTCTTTGCTTCCTGTATATGAGATGTGATCGCTCCTGCCACCATGTTCTCCCTGACTGTAGTCGTGCCTTCCCTACCATGATGGGTTCTGCCCCTCAGGAGCCAGAAGCCAAAATAAACCCTTTCTTTCCCTGATTTGCTTTTTGGAGCGTGTCATCAAAACAACAGAGCACGAGCAGGTGCTCATCATCCTCCTTCCTTTACGTTGACCTAACTTGACATTGATTCCCAAAGGTTCAGCTTTCTTGGATTCTGGCTCCACAGCCTGGCAAGGTCAAGCACTCATGGGAGGTTGGAGCCTTTGAGCCGGTGTCCTGCTCCTTCTCACCGCCTGCCCTACTGGGCAAGTTGGAAACGTCTCGGGCTGCCGCACATCACGGGAAGCCCCCAAAATGCCAGGTTTCGCTGTTCTCAAGTATCCCAGCCCTGAGGGGTCTCCAGCTGGAAGCAGACTGGAGTCTAGGTCTCATTAGAAGGGGCAAACCAGAACCCTGGGGGGACAAAGCAGCATAGATTGGAAAGCTGACCAAGGTCTCAAGGACTCTCTCCTCCTCAGTGCCTTTTTTTTTTTTTTGGTCTTTTTTGAGACAAGGTTTCCCTGTAGCCGCAGCTGGCCTGGATTCACTAATGGAGACAAGGCTGGCCCTGTGCTCACAGAGATCCGCCTGCCTCTGCCTCCTGAGTGCTGGGATTAAAGGCATGCACCACCATGCCTGGCACCTCTTACTTATTGTGCCTCTGCCTCCTGAGTGCTGGGATTAAAGGCATGCACCACCATGCTTGGCACCTCTTACTTATTATACCCACTATTATTACACCAGACCAATCATGCATCAGCTCCAGTGCCCAGCAGCTGTGCTACTGCCTGGCTGTATGACCCTCATGTCTCTCTGGGATGGAATGATAAGAGACCCCGCCACACACCTACCTCTGTAGAATGTATCTGAAATATCCCAGAGTCCTGGACCAAGCTTTCCTATAGGATGCCTTCTGACTGGTCAACTTCCTTGGATGTTGGTGTTTCTTTCGTGTGTGTGTGTGTGTGTGTGTGTGTGTGTACAACTTTCAGGAGTCAGTTCTCTCCTACCATGTGGGTCCCAAGGATTATAACTCAGATCATGGGACTGGAAAAATGGCTCAGAAGTTAAGAACACCTGCTGTTCTTCCAGAGGATCCGGATTCAGTTCCCAGCACCCACATAGCAACTAACAACTTGCCGTAACTCCAGTTCCAAGGGATCTGATGCCCTTTTCTGGCCTCCGCAGGTTTTGCACGACACACGTGCACTTAATACACATGCAGGCAATACACTCATACACATAAAATAAAAATATTTTTTTAAAAACTCAGGTCAAGAGACTTGGTGGCAAGCACATTTGCCACTGAACCATTTTGCCTGCCTGGACGTTGGAGTTTCTTAAAGGCCATCCCCGCAGTAACAGGCACAGAGCTGGCCCTCCTTCAGGTCCACCCTGCAAGGTTCCAGCCCAGCAGGCTTGGAATCCTAACCACGGTGACCTCAGCTTCTGTGCAGCCAAGCTGCCCAGAAAGAGGACAGAGCTGGCAGGGGTGGTTGGGAGGCTCAAAGCTGGAATTTTAAACTGCCGGCCAGCCCTGGAATCCCCACTGCGTGCTTCTGCCTGTGGCTCTCTGCATGAAGTGACATGCGGCCAGATGGTCCACCTCACACCTGTTCTACCCAGGGGGGAGAGGGCCCACAGGGCCAGGGAGTGCAGCTCATATCAACTGCCAGGCCAGGAGCTTGGTTCTTGGTCCTTCAGCCTGACCTGAGTCCCTAACTCCTTTATGTGTTCAGGCTGAGCCTGCGGAATTAGGTGTCCAGGGCAAGATGGGACACACAGATACAGCCTACCCTGTATCACTGTCCTCTGTTAACCGTGACACTGAGGACCCTTCAGATCTGGGAAACCTCACTGTGGAGGCAGGCCTAACATAAGGTAAATTCCACAGGCCTTGGGGTCACCCACGGATGTGTGACTATCAGCAAAAGACTTTACTCTGGGCCTTCTCAGGTTGGAAGCTTCCAGAACCTGCTCCTGTCACCTCTATGAGGAGCCCATCCCTCAGTCCCAGCCTGCCCCCCTTCATACAGATGATGGCACTGAGGGCAGACCTGCAGGCCGTTCCTCTAAGCACATGACACCATATTTGGTTTGTTTTGAGCAGTTTTGAGATTTAACTCACATACTGAGCAATTCATCTGCATGAGACTGCAACTTCCAATACAGTCCGAGTGTGAACTCACCACAGTCCGGCACTGAATGTCCTCACCTCAGAAGCCTTGCCCTGTGTGATCACCCTACTGCAGTCACTCCCAGCCCCCATGAGGCATCAGTTCCTCTGCTGCGTCGCTATAGAGGTATAGATTTCTCTCCTGGGAATATTTCATTTATGTGAACTTGAGATTCATGGTGGCTAGTGACTGGCTGCCTTCACTTAGCATTTTATTATTCTATAATATTCTGTGTAGACGGGTTTGAGGTTTGATGTTGTCTGTTCACCATCCCTTGCTGGATATTTGGATTTGGGTTATTATAAGTAACGTTGCTGTCAGCGCCTGTATACAGGGTTCTTGTTTGGGTTTTGCTTTTTTTTTAATGTGTGTATTTTGCCTGCATGCATGTAAATATACCACGTGTGTGCAAACCTGCAGATGCCAACAGAGGATGTCGGATCCCCTGGAACTGGAGTTACAGATGGTTGTTAGCCACCATGTGGGTGCTGAGAACTGAACCCACATCCTCTACAAGAGCAGGCTGTGTTCTGAACCACTGAGTCATCTCTCCAGCTTCCGATTTTTTTTCCTTTAACTTTTTTAAGTGTGTGTGTGGTTATGTGCATGTGAGTGTAGGTGCCCACAGAGGCCAGATGAGGGTGTCAGATCCCCCTGGAACTGGAGTTACAGATGTGGCATTGAGCTCAGGTCCTTTGGAAGATCAGCAAGCACTCTTAGCTGCTGAGGCAGCTCTCTAGCCTTTGTAAATAAGGTTTTATGTGGACTCATTTTCCTTTTTCTTTCCGTTTTTGTTGTTGTGTTAAGGCAAGGTCTCTAGATCAGTCTAGCCTCAAACTTACTATGTAGCCAAGGATGACCTTGAACTCTGATTCCTCCTACCTCCACCTTGAGGTTGTAGGTAAGCACCACCAAATTTGTTTTATAGGTAGAACCCAGGGCCTAGAACATGCTAGACAGGCACTCTACCCACTGAGCTACAACCCCAGCCTGATGTTTTTTTCTTAGGAAGTGCTAGTTATCTGGTGAGTATGTTTGGTCTTTGAGGAACTTCCAGGCTGTTTCCCAACTGCCTCTGCATTTTGCACAGCCCAGCAGTATGAGAGGATGTGTGAGGGCTCAAGTTTCAACATGGTCTCACCAACACTCATTGCTGTGTTTACTTTTAGCCCTTCCGGAGGGTAAAGTGGTCTCTCCTTGTGGTTTTGTGTTTCGTGGATGATTAATAGCGCCCAGACCTTTTCTAATACTTTCTGCTCGGTTCTTGGACAACTCCTATATTAAGATTCTTCACCCTTTTTTAAAAGTGGGTTGTCTTTCTCTTGTTTTCTAACATATAAATGGGTTGTTGCATTAGACTTTGCTGCTGTGACAAATGACCTGAGAGAAACCGTTTTGAGGGAGGAAAGGTTCACTGTGGCTCAGGGTCTTGGAGGTTTTGGTGCATAGTTGGTGAGCTTCATTGCTTTGGGGCAATGGGGACGAGACAGAAACATCAGAGCAGCAACGGTTCAGCAGAACCCGGCTCCTGGCAGACAGGAAGCAGTGAGAGGTACCAGAGGGGTCAGGCGAAGACATGCCCTTCAAAGGCCTGGCCTCAGGGACGCGCATCCTGCACCTAGCCTGGGCAGTTCCGCCCACTCCCAACATTTCAGGCACAGGGTCAGGATCTCTTGACACACCTTTGACTCTGACTGTGCAGCCCATCCGGGGTTCCATGTGTATCGCTCAATCTCAGAGTTGAGAAACGGACCGTTTACACAGCAGGCCTAGGTTCCGATCCTGAGAACACCACAGTGGTGTGGGGGTCTGAGAGAAACTTCATCAAGTGAACCCCATTTTCTCACCTGATAAAAAAGCACCCAGAGGAGTCAGTTTGGGCCTTGGGAGGTAACACTGTATCTATCCACAGCTATGAAAGCAGACCGGAAGCGCTTAAAAGGCGAGAAGACGGACCTGGTGAGCCAGATGCAGCAGCTGTACGCCACGCTGGAGAGCCGCGAGGAACAGCTGCGAGACTTCATCCGCAACTACGAGCAACACCGCAAGGTCAGCGCGCGCCTCTGTCCCCTGCCCCGCCTCCCCTCTCATCTTACTCCCCTGCCGACCCCTCTGCAGACACACACCACCCTCCCTTCTCCTCTCAGCCCAGCAAAGTCTCTGCCTCATCCCAGAGCATCTCAGAGACTTCACTATGTGCCCCTGGCCTGGACACCCCAAGGAACCCATCCCAGTGCTCAATGGAACCTGTATCCTGAAGTGGACAGGCCTGGACAGGGGTAGAATCCAGCTGTTGGAGCTCCCCACTCCCCTGTGCATGCCTTTCTCAGAACCTGTTTCCCCATTCATGGAAGGGTAATAGGGGTACAGAGCTGCTGTGTGGACCAAGGTACTGAGTGCTGAGCACTTGGTAAATGTGAGCTGCGGGCCTCAACAGGAGCACAGTGATGGAAGGGAGAGGAAAGAGGAAGAGCCAGGAGCAGTAGGAGAAGACAGGACACGCTGCTTGCAGAGGGAAATCCCAGAAGGGTTCCTGGAGGAGGTGTAGGAGTTGGTCTGTGTATTAGCTACTTGTGACAGTTGACAAAAGCCATTTCAGGGAGGAAAGATTTGGGCTCATACTGGGTGGGGAAGGCACGGCAGCAGGAGCGTGAGGCAGCTCGTGACATCGCATCCACAGTCAAGAAGCAGAGAGAGATGGATGCTGGTGCTCAGCTCACTTTCTCCTTTTTATTCAGTCCAGGCCCCCAGCCCATGGGATGGTGCCATTGGCCTTCCCACCTCATTAACCCAAACTAGAAACTCCTTCACAGACACACCTAGAGGCTTGTCTCCCTAGATTCTAACTCCTGTCAAGTTGACAGTATTAACCATATGGGCTCCATAGGCTTAGTAGCAAGATGGCTCAGTGGGCAAAAGCACTTGGTGGTGGAGCCTGATGACCCGAGTTTGATCTCTGGAACCCACACTGTGGCAGGAGAGAACCAGTTCACATCAGAAACAACCTGAGGAAGGAAGGATTCATTTGGGATCATGGTTTCAGAGAATTCAGTCTATCATGGTGGAGGAGGTGCGAAGTTTGTAGCATGTCACAGAAGTTCCTCACATCTGACATGGAGCCCAGTGGCAGGGACTGGATTGAAATTAAGGTGACTATCCCATACCCACTGTTCTCTTCACTGGTGACCCTCGTCACCTTCCACTTGCCTGCATGCATCTCTCTTCCTCACAGTGAAACAGCTCTAGGCAGCTGCTAAACAACCTTGCGTCACTGCAGCCCAGCCCCACTTAGCAGATAGAAAGACTAAGGCGTTCAAGGGCCTGGTAACTGACCCAGGGCCTCCCACACATGGGCTAGGCAAGCACTGTATCACCGAGCTTTCTCCCAAGCCTTCACTGGCGATCCTAGGTAGGTGCGCTAACACTAAGCGTACACCTCAGCTCCTCACTGGGGATTCTAGGCAGGCACTGTCCCCTACACTTAGGCCTGTTCTGCAGAAACCCAGAGCCCTGGTTTTATTTAGCTTCTCAAAATCTCCCATCTGGTCGCCAAAACATAGTGTGCATTTTATCTGTGGAAACAAATGTCCTAGCAATCAGGATTAAACCCTGAGGTTCCCCAGGTCACTGGGCTGCAGCCTCTCTGCTTGCCATGGCCCACTGGCTCCTCCTGGGACCCCGCAGGCCCCAGCTGCAGGTGAGGGCCGTGGGAACTCCAGGCTACTGAAATAGAAAGAACTTCGCCTGCCCAGAAAATTCCCAGAGTTTCAACATCCCAGAGAGCTGTGCCAAAGGCGTACACCCTCTCTCATGAATGCAGCTGGGTGGGGCACTTGGACTGTCCATACACCCAGCTGGAGATGTCCTCACAGCAGCCCAGCAACCAGGTCAGGGCTAGACACAAAGTGACCCTGGTGCTGTGACTGTGATCCTCCTCCACTGCTACCACCTCCCCATTACCTTGTTCCCTGCAGCCCTCCTCACTGCCCACCTCAGGCTCCTGGGTCTGGCCAAGTCCTACCTTTATAAATTCTAGCCACTGTCAAGTTCCAGATCCCCACAGAAGGAGCTCCTCCAAGTCTGTTAACTGCCTCAGTGATCAGCAATGGGCTGAGGACATGTTTCTCCTTTAAGTCTAAATTTGCTCCTCTGTGGAACAGGAATAATCAGTCTTCACCTTGTGAGTGGGCGTGAGGTTCAGATACAGTTATCATGCAAAGCCTACAGTACTGCACAGGACACTCCACAACTGTTGCTGCTCAGCCTGCTGGCTTCTGCCAGGGAACAGAGTCATGGAGACGTGAGGATCCAGTTTCCCAAAGTGTCTGCAGACCCTTTCCACCCAGTCAGCCCTGGTCTGCTCATGACCAGCAGAATCAGTAAAGACTCAGAGACAAAAGAGATCCCGAGGGTCCTAATGGGTCTTGGTCCTAACTCAAGATCACCAGCTGGCTCCCAGGGGTGGGCCTTATGGATCAATTCCACTCTGGGACAGTTTTTTGGCATAAGATCTCCAAGCACAGCTCTGTATGGCTGTGTCCGCTACAGGGATCTGTAAATGTTGGTAGAGTGAGTCAGGTGTGAGAAAGAAGGTGTAAGACCCCACAGGACAGTAGCCACTCTTCATAGCCCCTGGCCACAAGGAGACCTTGGATTGGCTTCAGATGTGGTAGTTTGCTGGGTGGGCTGAGTCCCCTCAAGGACCACTCTCTTGGGAGGGCTGCTGTTCTAAAACTGCCCCAGCCCAGCCCAGAGGTCAGGGGCAACCATTTCTCTGGGCCCTGCCCAGCACGTGGCTCTGCTACCCCACACCATCCTTGGCAGCCGTGGTTCATGCAGGAGGCCAGGAGAGGCCCAGGCTAGTGACAGGGATGGCTGCCCTGAGGGGATATGAAGAAGCATTCAGCCAAGTGCCCCATCAGCTGTGATCTTATGGGATGGCAGCCTAGACAGTTTCAGGTATCTTCTTGTCCATATTTCCCTCTGACAGAGTTCAGCAAACAAGGTCAATGCCCCCCCTACTCCCGGGAGCAGGGAATGTGGCTCAGGTAGTAGAGTGCTTGCCTGGCATATGCAAAGCCCTGGGTTTCATGCCCAGCATCTCATCATCCAGGTATAGTGATGCACTTCTGTAACCCCAGCACTTGAGAATTGCAGGCAAGAGAATCAGAAGCTCATAATTGGTCTTGGCTACATAGAGTTGGAGGCCAGTCTGGGCTTCCCAAGACTCTGTCTCATAAAAACAAACACCCTGCCGCACCCCAACATTTCTTGGATTCCATGTCATTTCCCACAAGTGCAGTCATTCCATCTTTATGGTCTTTGAAAAAAGTAGTGTTATCTCACTCCCATTATACGGATGGAGAAACACAGGTTTGATGTGGGAAAATACTTGCTAAGGATGTCCTACGTGCTAGTTCCTGTCCCAGTCTCCAGGCTGGTTTGTGGCAGTGGCAAGATTCAAACCCCAGACCTTTCCCAACCCAGGACCAGGGATCTCAGACACATACTAGGAACTCCATTTCCTGTCCATCCAGAGGAGCCCTCTGCCCCCGTGTGACCCTGTAACTCTCTCCCTCCCCAACCACAGGAGAGTGAGGACGCTGTCAAGGCACTAGCCAAGGAGAAGGACCTGCTGGAGAGGGAGAAGTGGGAGCTGCGGCGGCAGGCCAAGGAGGCCACAGACCACGCCGCAGCGCTACGCTCCCAGCTGGACCTCAAGGACAACCGCATGAAGGAGCTGGAAGCCGAGCTGGCCATGGTGAGTGCACTGTCCACCCAGGCAGCCCTGGCCACCGCTAGGCTTTGGTATGGGCAGCAAGGGTGGGTCAGTGGGCTCCCTGACACTCTGGGGACCACCTCCTGTCCACCCACCTCAGGAACATGGGGCTGTGAGAGACCTCACTCTACCGCACTCCCCAGGCGACTGCTAAAAAGGAGAGAAGTTTTGGGGGGGTTCACATTATACATTAAGAAAATATCTAGGAGGAAATACACAAAAATATAAACATGAGTTATATCAGAGTGCCAGGGGTATAGGTGACAGTATCTACACACATATATATGTATGATTTTTAAGGGGTTTTGGTTCAAATATATCTGCAGCAAAATTGTCTATTGGATGATCAAGTGAAAAAGTTAATTTTTTTTCCTAATTTAAAACAAAGCATCAAAATACTCTCAAATATGATGTGTTCTGGGAAGATTTTGGTTTGTGGGTGGGATCTTAATCTCACCCTGCCTTTCCCTTGAGGTGTCTGAATGCAGACAGAGCACACGTGGCTAGAATGGCCTTTGAACGGCCCTGGGCCACAGTCTGAGAGTGGGGCTCTTGTGACTTTTTTCTATTCCATTTATTTAGCATATGTGTGTACATACCATGGTTTATCTGTGGCAATCAGAGGACAACTTGTAGGACTTGGTTTTCTCCTTCCACCACATGGGGTCCTGGGGATCCAACTCAGGTTGTCAGGCTTGATGGTAGCACCTTTACCTACTAAGCCATCTCTCCGGCCCCATGTGTGACTTCTGAAAAATATTTTATTTTTGTATGATTGTATTGCCTGCAGGTGTGTAAGTACACACATGTCATGCAATGCCCATGGAGGTTAGAAGAGGGTGTCTGATCCCCTGGAGCTGGAGTTACAGATAGTTGTTAGCCACCATGTGGTGCTGGAATTTGAACCCAGGTCCTCTGCGGAAGCAGCCAGTGCTCTTAACCGCTGAACCGTCTTTCCAACAACCACTCCCCCATCCCATCCCCGTGTAAATCTTAAGTAGAATATGTTGTCCTGTAGAGTGCCTATGCTGGCTAATAATGTGGTTATAGCTGCGGATCCCATGTTCCAATCCAATTCCCAACACTTTCTAGCTGGGTGACCCCAGACAGGATGCTTTACCTTTCTGGGCCCCCATTCTAAGTGGGGATGCTTGCTTCCCACCTGCAGGCTAGGGCCATTACTGCTTCCTACAGCCCTGAGGGACAGCAGTCATCCAAACCCTGTGCACCCAAGTCATCCATTGTCCCTTGGGTACGTGGGAAGCTTGCCTTAGTGCTCTGGAGCCCTGGCCTCACTATCCTCGGAGCTTCCCAGAGTTCCCTGCAATGGAAAGATCAACACTCAACTCCTCCCTCCTCCCAGTAGCATTAGACCCTTAGCTGCCAGGGAGCTTGGTACATCAGTACAGACAACATCTTCCCAGAGGCAGAGGGAAGGGGCTTTACCTAGACCCCTGATGGCTCCCACCTTCTTTAGTGGTCCCTCTGACTACATGTCCCCTGCATCACATACCACTTGACAGGGTCTGGAGCTGCTGTCAGCCAGGCTTCTCCAAGGGATTGCTGGCAACAGAGGGCAACTCTGCCTGGTGGAAGCCCATGTTTGTTCTGGTCTTCTGGAAGTCAGGACCTGCAGGTGCAGTGGGAGGTGGGTGGTACTCAAGGTCACATAGCAAGTTCAGCAGCAGAAACAGAAGTCAAACCTGGCTGTCTGGACTTCGATCATGTGTGCATGTTGTGCTAACTTGCCAGTTCCCAGGAGCTCAACACTCTAGGTTCAGGATGCTCAGAGAGAGGAGAGGTCGGGGAGGGGGGTCAGTTCAAGAGGAGCACCCAGCATTCAGTTGTAGGTAGTGGATGAGAGTAGTCAGAAATGCCATGTCAGTTGCTGGTGGGAAATGGTCTACACAGCCCTGAGCGAGCATGTGTGTGTTTCCAATCAGATTTAAATGCCTCCTCTGACACTCACCTATGCCCTGGAACTCTGAGATTTCAAGTACTGAGAGGCAGCGTGAGAGGCTCCTGTATCCTCAGCTCAGGGCTACCTGTATCCTGAGGACTTGCCATAAGGGACCTCACAGCTGTCAGGTAGTGCTGTTCCACTTCCTAGAAAGAGGAAGCCACTCCTGACCCAGCCCAAGGTGGTTCTGTCCCACCTGGAAGGAGAAAGCCTATGGGAAGAGGGAGTACCCTGCCTGGATCACTTCCTGTGCTGCCCTAAAAGGCTGCTTGTGTCCAGCCTCTGTAGTCCATGGCTGGGGGCGGGTGTGTGTGTGTGTGTGTGTGTGTGTGTGCAGTCCCAGAAGAGAGAGCATTATTGAAAGAAAGGCCTCTCTCTGCCACCACCCACTCCTCATTCAGCCCCACCGGGGCCTGGGAGCTGTTTAGGAAGTAGAATATGACTAACTAGAAACATATATTTGAGTCTGTTTCTAACTCTCTCTCTAGGCCAAGCAGTCCTTAGCCACACTGACCAAGGATGTGCCCAAGCGGCATTCACTTGCCATGCCTGGAGAGACAGTGCTCAACGGCAACCAGGAGTGGGTGGTGCAGGCGGACCTCCCACTGACCGCTGCCATCCGGCAGAGCCAGCAGACTCTCTACCACTCCCACCCTCCCCACCCTGCAGACCGGCAAGGTGAGTCTGGCCACAGGGCCCAGTCGGGGGGTGGGGGGGTAGCTTCTTCATTCACACTGCAGTAGCCTAGGGGGCACAGACCATGGGTTCTCGTCATTGAACCCGCTAAGAGATGGCTCAGCAGTTAAGAGCACTGGCCGCTCTTGCAGAGGACCTGGATTCCATTCCCAGCACCCATATGGCTGCTAACAACCATCCGTAACTCCAGTTCCAGGGGAATCTGACACCCTCTTCTGACCTCTGTGGGCATTGCATGACACAGGTGCTTACATACATTGCAGGCAATACATGCGTACACATAAAAAAATATTTTAGAAAGAATACATACTGTTCTTGCAGAAGACCTGAGTTGGGTTCCCAGCACTAATAGGCAGCTCACAACCACCTGTAACACTAGCTCCAAGGAATCCAATGCCCTCTTCTGGCCTCCATGGGCATTTGTACTCATATGCACATACCCACACAGACACATCATTTTAAAAGACAAGGCGGAAGGTGATTGACAAGGACAGTTGATATCATTCCCTGGTCTCCCCCTGCGTGCACACACATTTGATGCGTGCAGCAAAGGTGAGGGCTGGAAGGAAGTGACATACCTCCTCCTGTGATTGCCAGGGTACACAGAGTGGCCGGAGGAGGGGGTCTCTTTTACCCCCAGAGTGACCAGAAGCCTTAGCTCTGGCTGCAGTGTGAGGAGAGGAGGCAGGGAGACCACCATGGTCTTGGAGAGGCTAGATGGCAGTTGCCACAGGATAGAGAAGCGCAGACTCGGCTGTTGCACAGAGGCAATGCGGAGAGTTGGGTGTGTGGTGTCAGGAAAAGAAAGGAGCAGCTGTGGCCTGGAGGTTTATTGTCTAGGAATCTGTTGTTGAGCGGTAGATAGGGTTACACTGGGTCTAGAACCACCCAGTAAGACTTCTGAGGCCCTTACTTCCACTAGTTGAGGAGGTGCTTAACAAGGTCCAGGGAGAGGCAGAGAACCCACACACACTAGCAACCACCCTCTGAAACCAGCTGGGCCTGCCCTCTGCCACATTGTACCCATCTGTATAGTGGGTGCATTGGGTGTGTCACTCACTCACCCGTTTTCTGCTTTCCAGCGGTCAGGGTGAGCCCCTGCCACTCCAGACAGCCCTCCGTCATCTCCGATGCATCTGCTGCTGAAGGCGACCGGTCATCCACACCAAGTGACATCAACTCCCCACGACACCGGACACACTCCCTCTGCAACGTAAGGCCAGCAGCCGTGGGGCCCAGGCACTTGGGCCCTGGCCGGAAACGGCAGGGCCACGGGGTGGAGTAAAGTGTGCCCACTCTTTCCTCTCGTCCACCCAGGGAGCTCTGTGGCGAAGGCACTTCCTGTTGTGTTCTTTCCTTTTTCAAGAAGCGGTGGATGTGGGGAGAGAAAGAAATGAGGCCTGTTTGCTCCTTGTGTCCGGGAGGGTGAGGAAAACCCAGAGGAAAGCGGGTCTGGCCCAGCCACAGGGTCTACAAGCCTGGAACCCCGCCAGGTGCACCCCATCTGTATGGGCCCTGCCTGGAACCCTGGGCTTCTCCAGAGTTCAGGGCCTGCCCAGGACCACCCATTCTCTGTAGCACCAGCTCTCCCCCGTCACCTAGAATGACACATAGTGCTGTGTTTTAATTTTGTGTTTCTAGTAGTTTGGGACATGTTTGACCTCTGCAGAGAGGTTCTGTGAATTTTTCTTAAATGTATTTCCTTATTATTGAGTCATATATGTTTTATTGCATGCTAAGAGACACGAGTCCCCCAGGCACTTAAGTCTTGATGACTAGGGAGGTAGGCAGGTGAGCTGGGCCCTGTTTGGTCCACTTTCCATTGCTGTGACAAAATGCCTGAGGTTAGGACACTAGTAAAGAAGTTTGGGAGGCTTCGAGTGGGAAGCCACAGAGTGGAAAAGGACCAATCTGGCCCTTTTATAACTCTAGCAAGAACCAAGCAGAGTCCTGTGAAAACCACCTCAGTTACTTCTGAGGATAGGGAACCAATGACTCAGTGAGGGTCCTCCTAAAGGTTCTACCATCTCTCACATCACCACTTAGGGGGCACAAGCATCCTATACCTTTGGGAGACACTCTCAAACCATAGCCAAACCACAGCAGGCTCCCAGCAGAGAATGGCTGAGAACTGTGTCAGCCTCCAACAGGAACAGAGGGTCAGGGGTAGGGACCACTTTGAGTTTTTGTCCCATCAATACCACTGATAACCCAGTGAAAGCAGGTAGCACACATTCAGCCTTCAGATGCTTGGGAAGAGTTTGTGCAAAACCTCAGTTAAGGGGCTGGAAAGTCGCTCAGTGGTTAAGAGCACTGGCTACTCTTGCAGAGGACCTGGGTTCAGTTCCCAGCACCCACATGGCTAGTTCCAGGGGATTAGGCGCCCTCTTCTGGCCTCTGGGCATTGCATGACATGGGTGCACTTACATACATGCAGGCAAAACACATAAAGTTTTTTAAAAACTCAATTCATATCACTTATTAGCCAGCAGAACATACTGAAAAATAATTTTAAGAGCGTTAAGGCACATGTAGTGGAAACAGACAAAACCATTACTTGCCAATAATATATTATCAGCCAGGGTCACTCAGGAGACTGGTGTGTTATAGGAACCCACAATAAGCAAGTCTACAAGGTTATGAAAATCAATAACTTTCCTACGTAAGTGATGGAAACCATCTTCCAAATCCTCAGTAAGAACGAGAAAGAAACACCAATTTAGCTAAGACGGGTTGGGGGTGGCTCAGTTCATAAAGTGCTTGCTCTACAAGCAATGAGGACCTGGGGTGGGCATGGGATTACTGGCCCAGGAGCCTTACTCTTACTGAGCAGGTGGAGAGGCCCGGCCTCAAACAGATACCCTGTGGCATCCAGATTCATCCCAAACCAGCACACTTTCCTAAGGGCCACGTTGACCTTCTGGCAGCCCCACAGGGCTCTTGTACAGAAATGATGCTGGCAGGGCCACTCACAGAAAGGCTCTCGTGAACTGCATTTGATGCAGGGCTAACCCGGCCTCGGCACATAGCTGCATATACATATACATATAAATATGTATTTTAGATACAGACATTTTAAATATGTATATAGCAAGGATGACACTTCCCAGAGAAGCTATCTGAGCTGCCTACAGGTTTTGTTTGCAAACCTTGAGACTGGATCACCCTGAACTACTTTTTGTTACATCCCTCCATCCCTCTTTATCCCCCATCTCAACAGATGTGCACATAGGTAAGCTAAAAAGTAGCTCCAGGCAGCCCTCTGTTCTCGAGAGTTTGACCTGGTGCCAGCAATATCAACACGGACTGGACTAAGGACCGCCTCACCCTCTCACATCTGGCCACTGATTAGAACCAAAGTAAGGGAAATTGGAGAGTTAAGAGGCATTGTTCCTTCTCTTCTTGGGCATTATGCCTGCAATTCCAGAAAGAGCCACTAGTAGTCTCCCTAGCAATGACTTGTGATCCCAGTGAGCTGTCTGCACACATGTAGGGCAGATGGTATTCAGGGAAGTAGTGAAAAGTTTTGTACAGCACGGGCTAGTAAGGATCCCCTCCCCACCCACCTGGATCGGGGTTGCATCCCATGGAAGTGTCCTGTGTGTCCCCTGGGCTACCAAGGTTCAGTTGCTCTGGGTCTCTGCCTAGAAAGAGCATGAAGACCAGGAGGAATCAGACACCCTGAACTGCAGTCCCTACTATTTGCTGTGTTAGCTCCATAAGAGACTGTCAGTAGACCCCACCCCCTTCTTACACCTAAATCCAGCTCACAAGCCCTCTCCCAACTAAGCTCAACCTCCACCCTTACTACCCTTTCTCCATAAAAGTTTATTTCTTTGGGAATAATGTCTTGAACCTTCAGTTCAAACAAAGTGGACCAATTAAGGCAGAAACTTAAGCCTGAGGGTGTTGAAGGTTGAAAGGTCAGAGCAGGCCTTTGACTACCTTGGGTTCCCTGGCCTGCATAATGATGTGCTGTGAACCCTGTGAATCTGCCTTGTGGAAGTGTCAGTGTTAAGAGATGGGGGTGGGGGTGGGATCCCCACTGTAAAGGCAGGGCACACTTGGATTAGTGGTGTCCATCAGGGAAGACCCCACTCACAGATGTGCTCTGTGTCCGCTGTCTGCTGCTTCATCTTTTTCTTCTCCTTTGACTACAGGGCGACAGTCCCGGCCCCGTTCAGAAGAACCTTCACAACCCTATTGTACAGGTAGGTGTGGCCTGGCTGTTCCATCTTCCTTCCGCTCCAGCTTGACCTTGGCCTGTTCCCTCATTGCCCTGAACACCCTGCTGTCATTCTTGAGCACCCAAGATAGCATCCAAGCTCCACTTTGAATCACATATATGCTGGCATCTGAACCAGGCTTGACGTGCACTGTGCCGAGGCTGTGTGCACCACACATCCTGTACACATCCTGCAGCTGTGCTCTGCATTTTCTCCTCTGAGCTGACCATCTGAAATTTTTAAATTCTTTGAAGACTGAAGCCCAGGAGATGGGCACTTTGGTCCCTCAGCCAATGCTAGGTTTGCCCCCTTTTCAAATTCTGCCATGGACGTGAGACGGGCATGGGGAAGACAAACCACATGAATCTGAGGGCCAGCATCTCTCCGGTTGTGAGGTTTCCACCTTCTGTATGGGGGCTTCCCTGGAGAAGACTGCATATTCAAATACAGATTTCTGGACTCTTCCCAATGGAGACTCCAGCCCAGGTTGGGAGTGGAGACTGCATGCCAGCTCATTCTGAAGTGTTCTGGAAACACTGAGTCTAGTCTGCACTCTGCCCTTCTATAGCTAATGCCACCATATGCCCTTGCCATTTGCCAAGCTCTCTGCAGGTGCCACCCCACACACACACACACCTGGCATTTCCCCAAACAGATGGGCCCTGCAGATCACATCCTCACAGTTACATGGTCACTGTCTACGTCCCCATATATGAAATGAAGAAAATAGGCTCAGAGAAGCCAGAGGCTCTCCATACTTCCATGGGGAACGACGGGATTGGGACCAGACCCTGAGCCCCAGCATAAGAGCAGGTTTCTGTTTCCCAGAAACTCCCAGGTGTCCCTCCCCATGCGCCAAGGGCTAATGGACCAGTTCTGCACATTGTGATATAGGGTGCCTGCCCTACATCACCCAGTGACCAGTGGCAATGGCCGAGTAACTTGACTAGTACCTGGAGAGGTCAGCAAACTGAACTTCAGTGGTATTAATGATCCAAGCAGCAGAAGCAGCCAGGTTACCACATGGCTGTCACTCACCAGGTTCCCATCCTTCGGCCAGTAATGCGCTCAGGACAATATTGAGTCTATTGTTGTCTCTGAGAGGTTCTGTAACTGGCTTGAATTTGCTTAAAGGACAAGGGGCAGAGTGCTAGGGTGCCAGCTCCAGAGCCAGCTCCTTACCTGCGTCCCCCTGTCCCTCACCCTCACCTCGACCTTGACCGTGACTTAGGGAAGCCTTCCCCTATCCCTCCATCCACCAGTATCCTTCCCACCAGGCTCAATTTGCCTTTTTTCCTCTCCCCTCCCACCATGGTCACTGGGTGCCTCAGTCACTAGAGGATCTTGAAGACCAAAAACGGAAAAAGAAGAAAGAGAAGATGGGATTCGGCTCCATCTCCCGAGTCTTCGCCAGAGGGAAGCAACGGAAATCCCTCGACCCGGGCCTCTTTGATGGTACCGCCCCCGATTATTACATAGAGGAGGACGGGGACTGGTGATAACCCGCCACCCTTCACCCACTACTCTCGGGCGTGTGTGCGCGTGTGGATGGGAGTTGGAGAATGAGTGGGTGTGCATGGGGGTGTGGGGCTTGTGTGGGGTTCGTGTGCACATATGCGATCACCCTCACGGGTGTGTGTCTGAGCGCCTGCAACAGGCGGAAACACAAGTGTGACCCCCCTCCCTCCGCGTCGCCACCTCTGTAATTGATGTATATACCACAACCCGTGTGTGACTCTGTCAGCTGTTGTCTCCGAGCGATACACTTGTGTTTGTTAATCTCGTTTGTTTTGTTTTTCAATGTTTTTGATTTTTTTACTTTTTGTTTAATTCGTTTTTCCTTTCTCCTTCCATCTCTTTTATGAAACTTGAAAACTTGAAGGACTGCTGTGTATTTGTAAATAACAAAATTAGTGTGCATTCTGTGCTTGTGAATGTCCCTCGTCCAACCGCTGCCCCCCACAGCAGCCCATCCTGCTAAGGATGCGGTATGTTTTCAATGTCCCTTTCCTCCCGACCCCTTGGTGTGAACATGTGGGACCAGACCCTGTTCTCAGGGTGTGTCCAAGTCACTTTAACCACAAAAAAAAAAAAAAAATACAACCCATCATCATCAGGGTAAGGTTACTCCGCAGAGACTCGTGAGCCCAGCCAAGGGGTCTTGGCTAGGCTATGTGTTTGTAAGGGGGTCAGGCAGGCTCTTTTTAATGGCCTGCCTGTTTTTAAATTGCGTTGCTATCTCTCTTTATGGAAAAAAAAACTGTTGCGTTTAATTTATTTGCACAAATGCAGAAAACATTCTATCTAAATTATTACGTAAATATCGGAATGTATATTTTTCCACGGGGTGGGCGGGAGGCGGGCATTTCTGCAGATTTGTCAATTCTGTTCATGCTGCTGACGCTGCACAAGGTAGATTTAGGGTGATTAGAACTGGGGACCTCAGATGGCCAGCTTGCTTGTTCTTTTTCTGTCTCTCCTGGCTGCTGTCCCTGCATGAGAGAGCCCCCACCTTCTCTGGCCTTTCTCTCTATCTATATATATGCATATATATATTTATTTATCTGACATACAGAACATGACTTCAGAGAGCACCACCTATTGCAGTCTGCTTCTCTTGGGCTTGTCTTTAGAGCCAGGTTGAGTCTGGGGAAGGACAGGCCAGGGCACATCCACAGAGTCTGACCTGAGTCAGTTGGACGGTAGGCCTCAGCTGGAACATGCTCCTCCCCAACTGTAGTTTATTCCATACATGGACCAGGCAGTTGTCAACGGAGATGTTGCCCACCTTCTGGGGAGGGCTGTTGGGGACAATATCCTGCAGGTAAGCCGTCTGCCCTCCTTTGGCCACACAGACTCAGTTGGACCCCATCCTGTGATTTGTCTTGGGAGTTCCAGCAGGCTCACCCCATGAAGGCTGGCGGGTGCCTCTGCCTGCTTAGGGAGCAGCACTGGCCCCCTCGGGGTGCTTTCTAACACCAGGGCGTGGAAGAACTCTCGAGCTTCCAGCCATGTCTGCCCTACCCCTGAAACTCAGTTTTCCCTTTCTTTTGCCCTGGGATTTCCCCCTCTCACTGATCCTTAACCACTAACAGCTCAGTTCACACCCCTTTGAGGCTGCAGTAGTAGCGCTTCTGCTAACAACATCCTCAGCTCTTAAAAAGCAGAGATTTTCCAAACACTGGAGCATCTGGGATGAATAGAATCATGTGCCCAAAGTCTCTAAAACAAACCAAAAAGCCCCCGTCAGGCCCTCCTTCCCTTCCAGCCTGGCCCAGGGGCTTGGGGAGAGCAGGCAGGGACACCCCCATGAGCCTCCATGTATCCTTTTGGGCTCAACTGATGAATCCAGCCTGGTGGTGAGGGAGAATGACTGGAGCTGGCATCCGAGGGAGGCTTTAGAATATACTTTTCTCCCCCACTGAATTTTTTTTTTATGGTTTTTCCCTTTACTTATAAGAAAATAAGATTGCAACCACTCCCGGTAATGATTTAGTCGTTCCTTTCCTTTCCAGTTTTTGTAAATTAGGAGATAATTCTAAGAGTTACTAAGGATGATTTATTTAAGAGAACGACGTCAAATAGCAAATGAGTTATGGATTACTTTAAATGGGAATGACCTTTTCCCGTGGGAGAGGTTTCTCAAAGGCATGGATGCAAAATATAAAATATTTAAAAAAAAAAAAAAGTCTGAATAAAGCTTATTTTAAAATACGGTGGAATTCTATGCGATTTCATTGCTTCTACGTTGCTCCGGGTGGGAGGCCGTGCTCCGTGGGGAGGCACAGCCTAATGTCCCGCCACTCTTTGAAATTCCTGGGCTGGGTGATGGGAGGGAAAGCTGGCTGGATGCTAAGTCCCCTAGAGGGGTCCAAGCCAGGTGACCTCCCAGAACATCTGTCTCTGCTACCTCTAATTTAGAGGTGCAGTCAGCACTAAGGGCTACCTGTGTCCTAACAGCACCTCTGTGCCCAGGTATCCCCATTCTCTGAGCTCAGAGGCCCTGTCAGCTTTCAACCTCCCCTTCCCGCACTCTCCTCCTGGAGGCTCAGAACTTCGGCTGTGACTTGGAGGCATATTACTTTGCATAGGCCTCAGCAGACTTCTGTGTCACCCCAAGTTCCTTCCCTGGTGGGACAGAGTAGCTGAAGAGGGACAGAAAGGTCCAAAGCAGAGTGGGCTAGACTTTTCTTGACTTCGGGTTCCTCAGATGCAAAGCTTGGGTCTTCCTCTATGTCCTGGGAAGGGCCCACCTAGGTAACTCCAAACCCTGATTCCAGCTAGTGTCTCAGTTTCTGCCTCCCGACAGAAGTGGTATTATGCCCGGCAATAAGACTGATGGGGGACTCCACTTGAACTCCCCTCCTAGCACTGCTAGCAGAGAGTACAGAGAGCCAAAGTCAGGCCGTGCTCCAAGGGTTCAGGAAGACTGCAAGGAAATTTGGGCCACCAGAGCTCTCAATGGCCAATGCCCATCATATCCCTGGAATCAGAGGCTTTTATCTCTCTGGTGCTTCTAACCGGCAGCCAGGATTGAGAACCGCCATGGAGCTAATCTGAGGAGGGCAGGAATGTTCACACCCATGTTCATCAGCCTGTGCCTGTCCCCATGCAGACATCACTAATCAATCAGACCGATCACTTTACAAAGCCTCATGTATCAATCCAATTTAGCATACAAGGATGAAGCTTATTTGCCATCCCAGAACTAGCCTGGCCCCTCAACACTGGTCAAAAACATGGATAAAACTTGGGCCCTTTAGAAAGGAGTGATTTGGTCAAGGTCTAAGCTAGCCCACCCTCTCAAAAGCAAGACTACACCTGACTCGAGCTCCACCCATGTACCTACTTTGTACTTTTCTCTTTGGGGAGTGGGTAGGGTTAGGGGTAGATCCCAGAGCCATATCATGCTAGGGAAGCCCTCTGCCATTGATCTGCCACCCTAGACCTCCTTGGCTAAAAGAATCTACTCCAAGATCTTGTATAAATAGTCCAAGTGGCACCTGTTCATCAGAAATCAGAGCAGGGCTGCCCAAAACATGCAGAGTCAGTGTTGCAACCGCACAGGTTGTGAACTGTTACTTCAGAAAGTGCCATTCTGCAGGCTACTGTGTGAATGGGACCCAGGCTTGCACAGTGCACAACCTGCAGGGCTATCCTGGATGACCTTCCCAAATGCTCTCCCTACCCATGCTTCCAGGCTCCAACCAGTATAACCGGTAATAGTAACAACAATAACAACAGCTAACATTCATTAAGCGTTTACCATAGGCCAGGCTCCATGCTGCGCACTCTGTGTATTAACACAGTTAACTCACAACCTATGTTACCAATGAGATGTCTAAGTGCTGGGATTACAGGTGTGCACTACCACATCTGGTTTATGTGGTGCCGTGGATCCGGGGCTTCCTGTATGTTAGACAAGCACGTCACCCACTCTCCAGGCTTCCTAGAGACTCCGGCTGTATCCCACTGTCTGGACCAGGAGGACCTGGGACCTATGGATGTACCTGCCCTCTGGGGTACCTTCCTGTTCAGCAGGCCCTGGCTTGAAGGCTCCCACCCTAACTTGGCTCCCCGGGTGGCCTCTGGCCCAGCCTAGCACTGCTTTGTTTTGGGGGACTGTGTACTCCTGTTTGCTTTTTTCCCCTGGGTCTAGAAAACCCACTCCCAGAGGAGCATGCCAGGACAGCATAGTAGAAGAGGGCTGAGGTCTAGGGCAAACTCTGTGTCCCACCTCCTGCCATACCTGATCTAAGGTCCTGAAAGTCAGTTCTGCCCCAAAACGTGAGGCATATGGCACCCCCAAACCTCACCAGATGAGCCAGCAAGTGACCCAGGGCTGACCTGCCTGATATGCTGGGGCACTGGACCACTGCTGCCTGCTCCAAGAGCTCTGGAAAGCCAGGTGGGAGGCTGACTGCACTGTGATTCTTGGCCATTTATTTGTTTTCGGTACTGGGGATCGAACCTAGATCCTCATGCATGCTAGACCATGTGCTCTACTGCTGAGCATTTTCTTTTGACTTATTGAGACACCAGTCTCGCTAAGTTGCCTAGGCTAACTTTAAATTTGCAATCCTCCTGCCTCATCTCCCCAATGACTGGGATTACACGTTTACACCATCAGTCCTGGCTTTCAAACAATGTTTTTAAACACCTAGACACTCTCCCCACCCCTCCAAATAAAACTTGCATTTTAACAAAACAAGGCATCACAGAGATTCCCCCACTTTACCACCATGCCCCTCTACTCTTAAGGTTTTTCAACTTAGACCCCCCCACTAGGTGGGGTTCCTCCCTCCTGTTTTCCAGTGGGGAAGAACCTGGTAATAATGAGATAGGAACCTCTTGGCTTCTTCATAAAGGGCAGCTGCAGGACTTTGCGTTATAAAGCAGTACCTTATAAATGTTAAAAATAACTTCAGTGTTTGTGTGGCAGAGTTACTTAAATA